AAAAAAAAAATTAGGAAAGGTGTACACACGATGTGTCCTATCCACATACCTTTTCAATCTATATGCAGAACAGATTACCCAGGAGGCTGCCCTCTATGAGGAGAAACATGGCATCAGGAGTGGAGGAAGACTCATCAACAATATGTGTTATGGAGAAGATACAACCCTGCTTGCTGAAACTGAGGGCCTGAAACACTTGCTGCAGAAAGACAAGGACTGCAGGCTTCAATATGGATTGAAGTTCAACATCAAGAATACAAAAAATAAAAAAAAGAAATATTTTATACTAAGAAGATAATTGTGAATTCCCTTAATTTAAATGGACTTTAAAAAATATTTAACTCTTGAATTTAATTCTTGAATTCTATTGTCACAACAATAATGATTTAACTGAACATATGTTATTCTTTCTGACACAAAGAGAAAAAAGAAATCAGAAGACTAGACACAGGAAGTTATTGTGTATTTCAAACATTTAATGACTACTGACTGTCTTTTCTTTTTTTACCATAAAAGATCTACTCTGAATGCAGTTAATACCCTAAGAGGAATCTTAATGCAGTATGTAATTATTTAAGCAATTAAAACTAAGGTAAGTCCCAAAGGGCATCAATTTTAATGAACATTTTAGAAATCAATTTTAAAAACAATTTTTGTTGGAATGAAATTATGAATAAATTAAAACTCTAAGTCTTCAGTCTATTTCTGCTAACAGAAAATTCTGAAAAACAGCTATCAAAATGTGAATATGTATTAAGATAAATAAGTAAAAATATCCCCAAGGATTATTTTGATGTCCAGAATTTCAAAACTGTTTGCTCTTTCATCTATAATATATAAAGAATAAATATTTTATCCTAATCATGAAGAAAAAATTAATCAACTCTTTCTATAATTATACTTATGTGAAAGATATATGAGTAGTGAAAAGCTGAATGATGTTAGAAAAAGTCAGCTCTGTCATTGGCCACATATGGCTGAAGTTAATCTATCAAAGATCCAGTTCTTTTTTCAAAAGTTTGAATCATGGCTTTTCTCATCAGCCAAGAAGACTGTTGAATTGTTGTTGTTATGTACTGTCACGTCATTTGAGACTCATAGTGACTCTTCGTACAATAGGTTGTTGAATTAAACAAAATAAAATAATTAATGAATCAGAGTCCAAAGAATGAGTAAATCTGTTTTTGAGGAAGTGTAGCCAACATACCCAAGAGGTAAGGATGGTGAGATGCTATTCCACACACTTTAAAAAGATGTCTGGAGGTCCCAGGAAAAGGACACCGTGCTTAGAAAAGTGAAGAGGGCACCAAGGACGTGAAGATGTTCCTTAGTTGTACTGACAGAGTGGCTGCTATAAAGTGCTTAACCCCAGTAGAGGTTGTTCAAGAAGACAGAGAGTTAACTGGACAAGGTTTCATTCTATTGTGGTGAATCACAGGATTGCTATGAATCACAGACAACTCCATGGAACGTGAAATAGCATAAATAATATCACACTACTCAAAACAGTCATGACGTAGAGGATTATAACCATGAGTCAGCTACAAAAATCTAGCATACTAGATCTACGGAGAAAAACCACATACTTGTATCCATTTTAAAAGGTACTGAACTGCATTCTCAACCAAGGCAAAATGCAGACATTCAGAACATTATTGAAAGAAAACAAGCAAAAAAAGGAAACTCTTATTAACAAGGTACTAAAGGCTGGACTTCTGCCAGTCCTGACAAATATGAGGTGAGAACAATTAAATGTAGTGTAGATGCCCTTCAGAAAACACTGAAGAGTGAAAACACTTGCTGGTATCTTACAACAATAGCTGGTTACCAGAGCATGTGGCATTAACTGAGTCTATTTTAGAACAAGTTTTCACACACACACACACAAACTAGAGGGGATGGATCCGTTTTCTTACTGGAAATACAGTAAAAGATTAAGTTAATGTAAGTAACACAAAAAGATCCAGGAGAGGTGTCCAGTTTGACCTTTATTTATTTATTTATTTATTGATTATTGATTGATCATTTAAGTAAGTATATCATTACTTTTTGTATTTACTATGCAAGCTTACTAACATTGTAAGAGTTGATATTTGACACAAAATTATAGCTATTACTAATGAAAATGTTACAAAATTATTATATTTTTCAAAAAGCCCAGTTTATAGAATATACACATAATAAATATACTCTAATAGTAACTTCCGTTATAACTGCAAATATTTAAAATTATTAATTAGCACTTTCATAGTTATTGTCTAACTATAATAGAAGGAATTACACTTGACATTAGCTAAAAAGTATGTTCTTTGATTACTGATGAAATCAGACCATATATTACAAAATAATTGCTTCATGGAATATCTGAATAAATATTACGATTACCATAAATAGAATTTCGTAGCCAATAATAATAGCACTATGTTTTATTGGATAACATCTTTTATAACAAATAACAAATAAAAGTATACTATTTAATTCTGAATAGATATTATATTTGGTTATTTATTTATAAAGATTTTATACCTTATATCAAATGAAGAGTATTCACGTAAATAAAGAACAAATACATAATTCTTGACACATATATGTACATTTATTTTGTTGTTTCAGTGGAAATAATGCTAGAAAGGAAAGCAGAAGCCTTGGAAAATGAAAGAGTTGGATTGGATAGTGTCTCAAATTCCAACCAACTCTGAGAACCTATGACTCAATATTTAATTCAATTCAACTAAGAAAACATTTATAAAGCCCTAAAACAGCCAGGTACTGTGTCTGAATCAATGAACTAAGTTAGTCAAACACTGCCCCATCTTCAAGTTGTACTATAAACCCTAATTCCCTAATCTTGCTTCATTCATTCAAGCTTCGTGAATACTTGAAGTATGCATAGTCTGCAACTAAGGATTCATTTATTAGCAGATCAGACTAAGTTCTTGATCTCTCTCCACATGGAGGTATGATAGAACTGAAAATAAACAAGTAAACAAATATTTGAAAGTTTAATGGGTTCTACGAAGAAAATTTAAAAAAAAATATTAAGTGTGACAGAGGGAAGTATCCAGTATTGGACTCAGGAGTAGGACAACTGGTCTTGGAAGTCCTCTCCAGAGAGGAAGTAAGTGAAAGAACTACTTGGATGATGTGGGGGAATCAGGAGACTGCAGGGCATCCTAGATCAGAGGGAAAAGTAAATTCTAACACTACAAAGTGAGTAAGAATGTGGTCTGTCCAAAGACAGAGAGAAAGCCATTGTAGGAGCAATAATGTTAAGAGAAATGGTCAAGACAACCCAAGGTTATTGCTGTTGTGACGCATGGAAAGAAATACAATGACGTTTCTACACATTGTAGAAGAGTACAGGACACAAGATACAATTTATGCTTTAAGATGGTGAAAAATGCAATCCATTCTCAGACTGCAACTATGAATAAATTAGTCAATGTTTATAAACAGTAGACTCTGCAGGAAATATCAGCTTGACTTGGTGGAGGCGCGAAAAAGTGACACTAGAAGACAAGTGAGAGATAATGATAATGGACTTGGATTTTAGATGAGACAATGAAAATAGAAATGGTTTGATACCTTATAGATTTCGAAGCTGATGATCGGGATTTGGAGAAGAAAAGAACGTGGTGGGCAAGAGAGAGAGTCCAGATGGTACCAGGGTTTCAGACATAATATTTGAATAATGTTGCTATTTAGAGACGAGTTAGGAAAAGAGTAGATATTCAGGAATGGAAAGAAATTCGCAACAATGGTATTTTAGGTAAAGTAGTTGCCATATAGAAATAATTTACAAGTACCATATGTTCACTTTGATAAATTTAAAATGTTAAGGAGGATTTATACGCTATACTATATAGCATGGAGCCCTAGAAGCTTAGTCTGTGGAAAGTTGCCTTGCCAACCCAATGGGGGCATCTCTCTCTGAAGGTTCAAATCTACCCGCAGCTCTGCACAAGCAAGATGAGCAATCTCCTCTCCTATGCAATTTACAAACTCTGAAAACCCCCTGGCAGGTCGGCTGAGCCAGTTCTGATGTGGAGACAATGAATTAGTTATGTACTGTATCTTCAGAGTACAAGGTTTCTATAAGCTGTGGTATAGTCAGAAAAATTGAGTTCGTTTTGTTGTTGTTGTTGTTTTACACTTAATACCCCTAGTGCTATTCAGAAAGTCATTCCCTTCCTTCTCTAATTGGTAAAATTCATCTGAAAGATCACTTACCTAACATTTTTCATTCCTACGCTTGCAGTGGCAAAATAATTATTTTATTATCTATTCCTAAATGACTCCATCTGTTCCTACTTTAGTTGATGGCGTGTACTATTATTAGTTTCACATCATTCTCCAAAGGTGACTCTTAGTCATTTTATAAAATACAGTGCATGGTATCATTATATGTTTGTTGTATTCACAGTACTCTTTTTAATGTCATTTCTGGGCTAGCAAGTCTGCTGTCAGAGACCTCTCCAAAGTACTGAAGAGTGATGATGTCAGTCTGGAGACTAAGGTGCACCTGATCCAGGCCAGGGTCTTTGCAGTCACTTGCTATGCATGAGAGAGCCAGACAATAACTAGGGATGATAGAAGGAGAATTGAAGCCTTTGAGTGTGGTGTGGGAGAAGAGTATTGAGTATTCCATGGACTGCTAAAAGAACAAACAGATTTGTCATGAAGAGGGTGAAACCAGGCTGCTCCTTGGAGGCAAAGATTCTGAAGCTTCATCTGACATACTTTGGACATGTTGCAAGGAGGGACCAGTCCTTGGAGAGGAATGTCATGCTTGGGAGGGTAGAGGGACAGCACAGGAGAGGAAGACCCTCAAGGAGATGGATTGATTCAGTGACTGGGGTGATGGGGGTGGATGTATCAGGGACAGTAAGATTGGCACAGGACAGAGCAGGTTTTAGAGCTGTTGTATGTAGGGTAGCTATGAGTCGCAGGTGACTTGATGGCACATAACAACAATAAATAAATGCAAAGGATTGCATTTTCCAGACCTCCTAAGGAATCAGAATATCTAAGAGTGAATCCAGGAATCTGCTTTATAATAGGATTCTCTGCACATAATAAGTGCAGATGATTATGTACAGAGCAATGATTGACATCTCTGCATTGTATTGTAAGCTACTGAATAAGAGATAATTCAGTTTCTTTGATATCACCAATGGCCAGCCATCTCTGGCCTAAAGCAGGTACTTGAACAAACCTTTTATAAAACTTGATTTCTTTTGATATTCCCAAAGTGATGTTCAAGTACATTTAGTTATTTATAATGATTTGTCAGAGCATGCACGTTATTTTGTTGTCTTCAGCGTTAATTGGAAGCAGCTCTTCCTGCCTGACTCTGGAGAAAGGAGCTGGAACTTTGGTGTGAGAACAGCAACTTAATTAGAGACTCAAGAAACATTTATAATAATTTTTCTTTTCCCAGCAAAACTTGCATCTGACCAATTCTAAAAATAAATGCACTAAGATAGGAAAGGACCTATCTTAGTCAAGGAGTTCTGGTTACAGCATTTAGACTAAGAGAGATAGGTATATATATACATATTACTTATATGGAGAAATCATATGTAATTACATTTTCGGCTTAAAAACAGACTTCATGTCAAGACAGAGTTCATTTTATCAGATATTATTCCTAAACCATAAACTCTCTAACAAGGGAACACGGTGTAAGAGACATACTCCTCATTTGTGTGCTGAAATGCCTCAATCCATTACTTATTTAAACATCATACACAATTCAGCATAAGGCAAACCCAAATTTGTATATATTGATAAATAATAAACAATTCATAGTGTTCCAATCAATGCAGATTCCTGGTGACCCTAGAGGCCGTGTTTCGCTCCCCAAAGATTGGGGATTTTCAGAGGCAGCGAAGTGCTCTGGATGAGACAGTGTATCTTTCTCCCACTGGTGGACTCAAACCATGTACCTCAGTGTTGGCAGCACAAGTCCTTAGCACCAAGCACCAGAGCAGAGAACCCTGACGGGGTAGTGGTAAAAAGGTTCATTGTAATCCCAAAGGTTTGATGTTCAAATCCACCAGCTGCTCTGTGGGAGGAAAAAAATGGGTAATCTCCTCCAGTATTATTAATCGCCTCTGAAAACCTGCTGGAGGGTCAGCTATGGGTTGATTCTAACTCAAAGGGAGAAAAAAAAAAAGCAGCAACAAGAAGGCACCAGAGAGGCCTTCCAGAAAGATTATAAGAATATAATTTTTTGTTGAAGCAGATGGTCACTTCTTTCTCCATGATGTAGCAGGTAGGTTAGAGTGCCAAACTTTTAGCTAGTTGGTGCATACTTAACAACTGAGACATACGGCTAGTGAACTAACAACACCATTGCTTTTACTGATGTCAAAATTATCTGCATGCACTCACAAGGAAAACAGCATGACAGTCCATATATCCAAGGAGTTATCCTACCTGCTGAAATGTTTACATTTCTTTTATGTAGCAACTAGAGCTAAGGAACAGAAAACAAAATCCCAAGGTTAAGACATGTATCAGCAAACTAAGCTGTGAGCTCTCAGTTAAATCACTTATAAGCAGCAATCCTAACTTGTCCATATGTTTCACAAGGGTCTATGACTGAACTTCCACAAAGGAAGTCTATGCAGAACTGGGTCAAAATAAACGACTTCTTCAGCATGTAACAAAATTGAGTGTATATAATGATTGTTCACCTCCTGTACCAGTCAGATCCAATTTGACGGTACACACATTAAAAGAATGAATGAATGAATGAATGAATGAGTAAATAAATAATTAAAAAAAATAATGATTGTTCAAAATCCTGAGCTAACTTTAAAAAGTCAGGTGACTGCAAAAATGTGTTTTAATTTGCTTGTTTATTTGTTCTCTTAAAGAAATAGTTAAGACACTTAGTTAAATGCATAAGACTAAGTGAGGCAACTGCAGGAACTTTCCAGAAAGGAGTAGGAAGCCTGAAGCACCAGGGTGGGCCAAGCCTGTAGGTGATCAATTGTTAATCGAAATGGAGGCATTTTGAGGCCACCCAGGGGTGATTTTGAAGAAATACTTAGAAGAAATACTTCCCAAAAAATCAGTCGTTGACAATTCTATGGGACACAGTTCTACCCTGAGACACGAGGAGTTGTCATGATTTGGAACTAATTTGATGGCACTGATTTAGTAGAAAATTGTGAAAAAATAATAATCAACGTAGTCACCTATACGGCTCTGCTGCTTTCTGGTCAGCCTTACCTATCGTTGGCTGTCTTCTAACTGATGATGGGTCGTAGGTGCTCTGAAGAACATCCAACACAGATGCATCATCAGCGTATGAACTTACGCTGTGCTCTGGGATCCACTCTCTGTCAGCTAAAATGAGAAAACAATATACAATTTTAAAAGTAGGAAGGAGATATTTTGTTGATTTATTGTAATTATCATATTAGTAGATAATATTTAGCTGAATAAAGGGTATTTATAACAGTGAAATATAAATTAACCATACATCAAAATACAATAACAATAATCATACAATTTAAAAAATACTAGATTAACATAGTTGAACTGAAAGAAAACATAAAATTTGTACTGCAAAGATACTCTACACAACCCTATGCTTGTATCTAAAACAGGATATGTCTTGGCAAGGGTGCAGGCAGAGTCTTCTTTGGAGACAAGGATGTTGAGGCTTCACCTCACATACTTCGGCCATGTTGCTAGAAGGGGCTATTCCTTGAAGAGGGACATGATGCTTGGAAAGGTGGAGGGTCGGTGAAGGAGAGGAAGACCCTCAATCAGGTGTTCTGACATGGTAACTGTCACAGTGGGTTCTAGGGTGTCAGGAAGTGTGAGGAGGGACAGAGTTCAGTTCAGCTGCTCACAGGACTCCTAAGAGTAGGACCTGACTCAACAGGACCTAACAACAGCAAGCTGCTGGTTGTTGTTACGTGCTGTTGAGTCACTTGTGACTCATAGTACAACAGAACTAAACCCTGCTCTGCCAATCTTACTGTCTCTGACACGCCTATCCCCATTACCCCAGTGACGGAATCAATCCATCTCACCAAGAGTCTTCCTCTCCTGCACTGTCCCTCCACTCTCCCAAGCATGACGTCCATCTCCAAGGCCTGGTCCCTCCTTGCAACATGTCCGAAGTATGCCAAACGAAGCTTCAGAATCCTTGCCTCCAAGAAGCAGCCTTGTATAGACTGAAATGATCTTTTTTCCCATTTTAAAAAAACTCCCACAATTCCTTTGTGCAACAATTAATATTTAAAAAATAATTACAAATTTTAGAACATCACCTTTATATAATTTTTTATATTTTATTTCATTCATTTTTTGTTTTATAAAATTATTTTGGTACACTGTGTTTTATATAAATAGCTCCTACAGTGTACTTTGATCTCCTGGTCTCCTCAGTACCCAGTGCACCCCGTCTATTTCTTCACTTCCCATATCCCTGCTAATCTCTGTGGTCCTGGCAACTTCCTCTTCCTTCTTCCATTCTCTTTCCCCCGTTCCTTTTAAAGAGTTAAATATTCACATATATCCTGTTCCTATTCACTAGTTGCAGTAGTAGTATTATCTTTGTCTCAAGTCTTCCCATGTTGGTCCTTGCTGGTTTTGGGAGTTACAGCATTGCTCACCCCTTACTTTTCTTTGTCCCCTCCTATTGTCACAGTAGTGGTCGTATGCAGTATTTGTCCTTTTGTGACTTAGTTATTTCACTCTACCTACTTCTCTAGATGAGTATGCCAACATAAGCTTTAACTATACTTGAAAATTGCATTTAAACACATAGGAAACTTGAGACAAGAGATGATGTAAAAAGTCAACAGGAAAATACCAATACATCTCGGAAATTTCACAGCTCCCAAGCTTTGAGGCTTGATTCTAACAGGCTATTTAAGATTAATCATGTGATTCTTAACAAAGTCATCTGAAGGGTAAGATGGTTTTAAGCATTGAACAGAATTGTGTAGTATTTCTTAACATAAAGTTGGACTGTTAGAAAAGAAAAAGTTTGCGAATTGTCATGCTGGTTCACAGGCTACCTGATTTCATGTCTGCGTTTACCTGAAAGTGTAATCCCAATACTGGAAGAATCCAATTTTACGTGGCTTGAAGGAAGTGAGGTGAGACTTTCATTTGCATCAAAAACAAAGAGCTTCTTAAATTCAGTCCGAGGCTTCTTTCTGAGGGCTACTTCTTCTAACAACTAGAAAACAAAACATTCAACAAAATTAAGCTCCCCCCCATCAACTCAGATAAGCAAATTAATTCATTGAGAACCTATGAAATATTTAGCACAGTTTCTCCGCTTAACAAGTTTAAGTTCTGGATGATAATAGCAAATTGTTTATAGATAGTAAATTCTGAAAAACATTAAACCAACAAGTAATTAACTATCCGAGAACCATCATTAATCTATAAGGAGCACAGACAGTAGAAAAAACAATGGGTTTTTACTTTATTTACTCATATTCTCCCCTCAAGTGTTTGCACATAAATTATCTTGAAATATAAAGTCTCATACACTGTGTGCTTTGAAATAGGGTCTCTGCATACACCTCTAATAATTTCAAAGATAATTTATTCCACTGGAAATATTACTTGAAAATGGCTTCAGACAAAATACAAGTTATCAATACATTCATTATGCAACAAATGTGCAATAAAACTGAAACAAGAGAAATATAAGACATGTGTGACATTTATATAGTTAAATTGCTGCTTTTGCATGCTATCAAGTTGGAACTGAGACCAAGCTGAAGCTCTGCTAAGTTTTCAGAGGCAATTAATTGCATGGGAGGTGACTGTCTTTCTCCTAAAGAATATTGTTAAGGACCTGATACAATAATATAACTGTATAATTATAAAAGGTATAGCTAGCAGAGGAAGGTTTTGACTATAGATATGCTGATTTGAATCCTAATATTAAACCATCATCCCATGAACTATTTTTTAAAAAAATATGGTTTCATTTTAGGGGAGAATATACATGAGTTTGAAAAACGCATCAATCTAATACATAATGGATAAGGAGATCAGAAGGGAGAGCTCCAGATCAGCTTAAAAAGTCAGAGAAACTATCAATGTTACAGGATCTCTGGTGGCCGAGGGGTAAGGACTTGCACTACCCTGCTTACAGCACCAGGTTTGGGTCCACCAGCTGTTCAGTTGGAGAAAGATGGGCAATCACCTCTCATGCTATTTATGTCCTTTGAAAACTCGCTAGAGGGTTAGCTTTTTATTGGTTCAGCCTTGAAAGTACATAAGAGCAACAAAACCTAAAATACCTAACAAAGTAAGAATGTAAGGAACCTTTCTTAAGCTATGGATTAATTACGGGAATCCCAACCTCAGGTTTGGGGATCATATCTTCTGGCTACCATAGAAGAAAGACATGACTCTCATAAGCATTTATTTCCTTGGAAACCCTAAAGGCTAGTTCTATTCTGCTCACAGGATTGCTGGGAGTTGGCATTGAATTGATGGCCATAATGGGCTTATTTTGTTGTTCAACTGGTGATTTTTTTAAACGGTATTTAACAATGCCTCCAGGTGAAACGGATCACCTGGAGGTGTAATACTAACCCAAGGTTGAGCCTTGGTTCAAACCCTCCCCAAAAAAGAGGATTTGAATCTACCAGTAAAAATGGGGTAGAACCATGGGGTGGGTAATCTCCCCTCTTAACATTTATGGTCTTGGAAACCTAATGGAAAAGGTCCAAGCCAATGACGAGTTGAGTTGCTGAGCTAAGTTTACTAATCTAATTAATGGGAAAATGCAGTATGAACCACAGGATTTAAAAACACAAAGAAAATTTTCATCAGCTAATTAAAAGACGAATTGCATTGGGACAGTCTGCTGTCAGAGACCTCTCCAAAGTTCTGAAGAGCAACAATGTCAGTCTGGAGATTAAAGTGCACTTGATACAGGCAATTACTTGCTATGCATCAGAGAGCTAGAAAATGACTAGGAATGATAGAAGGAGAATTGATGCCTTTGAGCTGTTGTGCTGGAGAAGAGTACCATGAACTGCTAGAAGAACAAACAAGTTCGTCGTGGAGAGGGTGAAGCCAGGCTGCTCCTTGGAGGCAAGGATTCTGAAGCTTCATTTGGCATATTTTGGACATGCTTCAAGGCAGGATTAGTCCTTGGAGAAGGATGTCATGTTTGGAAGGGTGGAGGGACACAGCAGGAGAGGAAGACCCTTAATGAGGTGGATTGAGTCAGTGACTGGTGTAATGGGAATATATGTGTTGGAGACAATAGAATGGCACAGGACAGAGCAGGGTTTAGGGCTGTTGTACACAGGGTCACTGTGAGTCACAGGCTGATCTGTTCTGCATATAGATTGAAAAGGTATGGAGATAGGAAACATCACTTGTGTACTGTTCCTGATTTTGAACGATGCAGTGTTTCCTTGCTCTGCTCTGATGACTGCATCCTGATCCAAGTATAAGTTTTGCATAAGTGCAATCAAGTGTTCCAAGATTCCCATTCTTCTCAGAGTTAGCCATAGTTTGTTGTGATCCATCCAGTCAAACACCTTTGCAAAGTTCATGAAATGCAGACAGGCATTGGTCTGGTACTTTCTGTTTTAAGGTACGATTCATCTGTTGCTGCTGCTGTTGTTTTTGTCATCATTGTTAGGTGCTGTCGAGTCACAGACAATTCATAACAACCCTAGTGAACGAAAGACCTGAATACTTGTATAATGTTTATTGTTTCTCCAAGTTCATAGAGTTTCTGGAGGCAAGGTATTTTGGAAGTGGATGCCACTCAGCTTCCAAGCTTGTTTTAATAGGGAACTCCACCAAACACTGTCCACCATGGGTGACCATTATTGAATTTGCCACATCAGTGTCACCGTATTTAGCAGCAACCACCGTTATTTATCTTTGGGTATAATTATCCATAGTTCCACAGCCTCTTTTAATCCAGCCTACAAATCTGGAAGTTCTTTGTTGATGTGCTGTTCCAGTCATTTTTGGATAATTTTCAGCAGGATATTTTTTTTGCAAGTGATATTGAGTAATTTCCACACTCTGTCGGGTGATCTTTTTTTTTTTGGAATGGGAATAAATACAGATCTCTTCCCGTCAGTTGGCCAGGTGGTTGTCTCCCAGATTTCCTGGCACAAATTGGTGAGCGTGTCCAGGGCAGCATGTGTTTGTTGAAATATGTCAATTGATTTGGTGTCAATTTCTGGGGCCTTGCATGTTTTTGTTTGGTTTTGGTTTTTTGCCAATTCCTTCATAGCAGGTTGAACTTTCTCCTTCATCACCATGGGTTCTTCATCATAATTTGTTTCTATAAATTCTGTGTCAGACAATTCTTTTTGGTATAGTGACTCTGTATACTCCTTCCATCTTCTTTTAATGCATCCTGGGTCATTCACTATTCTGTCCACAGCATCCTTAAGTATTGCAACTTGAGGCTTCAATTAGAGCTTTATGTGCGTGGAGACTCCCTTCACCATGTAAACACTGTCCCCTGGTGCCCAGGCCCTAGGAACACCAATATCTCAGGGGAAAGAAAAGGACACTGGAAGGCAGAGGAAGTGAGAGGCCTGAGATACCAGGTCAGAAGGGAAAAGAGGTAACAGATGGGGAATTGAGCTGGGTGTTGGCAGGGCGAGGTGAGGGTGGGGACACACATGCACCTACGGCACCAATGCCTGATCTGTTACCTACTTACTTTTGTGAAAAATGCTTGTCAGTCAAATATTGCTGTAAAGCTGAACACTCGAATTCAAGGGCCATCATTCAAAGGGTCATCCACTTCCAAAATAACAGGCCCTCAAAAACCCTATGTACAACAGAGCATTCCTAGCAGATATGTCGCCAGAGGCTAAGCCTTTGAGTAGGGAACCACAAAGGGGAGGAACAGTTTAAAACAGACCCTGACGATTGGGACTTGGAATGTGAGAAGTATGAATGTAGGAAAAGTGTAGATTGCTAAGAAATGGAACGCATAAATATTAACTTATTAGGCATTGGAGAAATGCATTGGATTGTCATAGGACATGCTTAATCAGACAATCATCGGCTGGAAATGAAAAGGTGAGAAAAAATGAGGTCATATTCATATAGTTAAAAAGATTATTTCTAGAGCAATCTTGAAATACAATGCTGTGACAGGATAATATCCATATGAATACAAGGTAGACCTGTTAATACCACTATCATTTCAATTTATCCACTAACAACCAGAGCCAAGGAGGAGGAAATAGATGATTTCTACCAACTCTTGCAATCAGAAATTGCTCAAACATGTAACCAAGATACATTAATAATAATGGGTGACTAAAATACAAAAATTAGGAACAAAGAAGTATCAGTAGTACAGAAACAGGAACTTGGTGACAGAAATGAGGCTGGAGACAGGTTGGTAGAATTCTGTACAATCAATAATTTATTCTTTGCAAATACTTTTTATAAGAAACACAAACAAACAACTATATACATGGACCTCACTTGATGGCATACATAGGAATCAGACTGATTACATATGTGGGAAAACTGTGGGAGAAGTTCAATATCATTGCTAACTGTAGGTCAGAGATCACCAGCCACTTTTATGCAAGCTCAAACTGAAGCTCAAGAAAATAAAATCCAGTCTACAAAAAACAAAGTGTGACCTGGAGTCTATCCCTACGGAACTGAAAGATCATCTCACGAACAGGTCTGAGGCCTTGAACACTAATGAGCAAAAGCAGATGAGCTGTGGGAGGACAGAAAGAATATCATCCATGAAAAGTGTAAACGGTCATTATAAAGATGAAGGAGTAAGAATAGGTCAGCATGGATTTGAGAAGCAACTCTGAATATTGCACTAGAAGCCAAAGCAAAGGGAAGAAATTATGATGTTAAGGACCTGAACAGAAGATTTCAAAGGGCAGCTCATGAAGACAAAGCGAAGTATTATAATGAAATGTGCAAAGAGGTGGAGTTGGAAAATCAAAAGGGACAAACTTGCTTAGCATTTCTTAAGCTGAAGGAATGTAAGGGCAAAGTACTGAAGAGCAATGGTGTCTTCCTGGAGACTAAGGTGCGTCTGATACAGGCCATGGTCTTTGCAATCACTTGTTATGCATCAGAGAGTTGGACAAGACCAAGGAGGATAGAAGGAAAATTGATGCCTTTGAGCTGTGGTGCTGGAGAAGAGTATTGAGAATACCATGGACTGCCAGGAAAACAGATTCGTCC